GAGCGCACCAGTTTCGACGGAGAAATCCTGAAGCCGATGGACGAATCCGCCGTGCGCGAAGCCGCACGCCACTTCGAACGCGCGGGAGTCGCGGCGGTGGCCGTGGCATTCCTGCACTCCTACGCGAACCCGGCCCACGAGCGGCGAGCCAAAGAGATTCTGATGCAGGAACTTCCGGACGTTGCCGTGTCCCTATCATCAGAAGTCTTACCCGTATATCGCGAGTACGAGCGAACCATCACCACCGTACTGAACGCCTACGTTACTCCCAGGGTGAGTCACTACATCGACAACCTCAAGAGGTCGTTGCACACCTTCGGGACGGGGGCGGCCTTCTCGATTATGAAGTCCAACGGCGGGATCATTGGCGCGGACACGGCGGTGGAGCAGCCGGTCTACACTGCGCTATCCGGTCCGGCCGCCGGAGTGATGGCCACATTGCAGATTGCGGAAACCGCCGGAGTTGCGAACTGCATCTCCTTTGACATGGGTGGAACCAGCACCGACGTATCCTTGCTGAAGGACCGAGTACCAGACATTACCCTGAACGGCAAGCTGGGGGATTGGCCGATTCAACTTCCCATGCTCGACATCGCCACCATCGGATGCGGGGGTGGCAGCATTGCCGAGGTGTCGCCTTACGGCAGCCTCACGGTTGGGCCCGCCAGCGCCGGCGCGGACCCCGGGCCGGTCTGCTACGGACGGGGCGCTACTCGCCCCACCGTAACCGACGCCAACCTGGTGCTGGGACGGGTGAACACCCAGATTGCTGGCGGCCAACTAACGCTGGATCGCGACGCGGCTGTATGGGCGATCGACGTATCAATAGCATCGCCCCTGGGTCTGGAAATTTCGGCCGCCGCAATTGGAATCCTGAAGATAGCCGATAACGCGATGGTAGGTGCAATCCGCAACATTAGCGTGGAGCGCGGCCACGACCCACGGGACTTCACCCTGGTCGCCTACGGTGGCGCTGGGCCTATGCACGCCATCGACGTGGCGAATTTGCTGGGCATCGAGACGGTGCTGGTGCCGCCGTATCCCGGCATTGCGTCCGCCTATGGATTGCTGGTTGCTGATTTCAAGAATGACTATGCGAAGACGTTTCTGCAGCAGCCTCCGGACTATGATCTGGATGGCATGGCCACGATCTTTGCCGAACTGGAAACGGAGGGCCGCAACTGGTTGCGCGGGGAAGGCGTCCCCGCCGACAGCCATAGCCTGACACGCTCCGCCGACCTCAGATACACGCACCAGGGCTCGGAACTGACCATTCAGTACCAGCACTCGCGGGTAGATCGCGTGGGTCTGGACGCACTATTGCAAGAATTTCACCGTCGCCATGAACAACTCTACGGGTTTGCCCTGGAGCAGCCGGTGGAGATCGTAACGGTACGGGTAACCGCGTCTGGGCAGGTGGGCACTGTAGAAATGCCGCACCTTGCCACCGAGAACGGCAGTCTGGATCAGGCGTTGATCGACCGGCGGCCAGTATATTTCGAAGAGTCGCAGGGATTCGTTCAGTGTGCCATCTACCGGCGGGAGGGCTTGTACCCGCAAGCCAGGATTGCAGGGCCAGCCATCCTGGAGGGGATGGACGCCACGGTGGTGATAAACCCTGGATGGGATTCGCGGGTTGACGAGTACGGCAACTGCATCATGCGCGCCACAGGGAGCGGACAATGACGGTACCCCAACCCAGGAATTACGCCGGCCCCAGCGGACCGGATGTGCCTTTCGAGGCCGTTGACCCGGTGACTCGCCAGTTGATTCGCGGTTCTCTGCGGGCGGCCAGACTGGAGTGCGAGCTGATTGTAGAGCGCACGGCAATGTCGGCGTTCATCCGTGAGAAAAAGGACTACACCGTTAGCTTTCTGGACGCTGGTGGACAGGAAATCTACGGCGAGACCATGGGCAGCGACATACTGGGATGTGTCTGGGGATACTACCCCGTCCAGTCAATGCGGCCGGGTGACCTGTACTGGTACAACGACCCGTACCTCTCCCATGGCAGCATCACCCACACGCCGGATATGGTGTTCATCGTGCCGGTCTTTTACGACGGGGAGGTCGTGGCATACAGCCACTCCTTCGCTCACTTCTGGGACCTTGGCGGGTCTCGTCCCGGCAGCATCGGGCCGGCCAACACCGAGATTTTCCACGATGGAACGCTGGTTCCGCCCATCAAGATTATCGACGGCGGCAAACTGAACGATGAGGCATACCGGATCATCCTGCGCAACTCCAGGTATCCCGACCTGCTGGAAGGCGATTCGCGGGCGCTGATGTCAGCGGCCCGGCGCGCCCAGGAACGATTGCTCGAGATGTTCGACCGCTACGGAAAAGACACCATGCTGGCCGCCACTGATCAGGATCAGGCGGACACCGCGCGATTGGTGCGGGAGAAAACGCTGGAAATGATCCCCGAGGGCGAGTACGCGGTACGAGACTACATGGATCACGCCGGCGTGGGAGATCAATGGCACTCTTTCCACCTGAAGCTCCAGCGTCAGGGAGACACAGTGGTGCTGGATGCGACTGGCAGCGACGATCAGGCTGATGGGTCGATTAATTTCATCGCCAGCAACGGCGCGCTGAAGGCTTACTTCGGTCAGTACTTTCACCAGTTCGATTCGTCGTTGTTGTCCAATCACGGGCTGCTCGCGGGGATAGACCGGGTACAGCTCAGGCCCGGCAGCATCCTGCAACCCGAATGGCCGGCCGCTCTGGGGTGCCGGGCGCACACCTTCACCAAGCTCAAGAGCGCGGTGCGGGCAGTTTTGGCCCAGGCCACAGATGGTGAGGTGATGGCCGGCGCCGCAGTCTACGTGATTGCCTACTGGAGGATGAAAGACGCCGACACGGGCGCCTGGCTGCTTTGCACCAATGGCATCGCCGTCGGCCATGGCGCCAGGCCGTTCGGGGACGGCCTCGACGCCATCTACCAGCGGCACAATGAGAATTATCCTGGCGAATTCATGGAGATGGAATATCCCTTGCGACTGGAGCGCTACGCCATCGCCACCGATTCCGGCGGCCCGGGGCAGTTCAGGGGCGGCTGTGGAATCATACGGGACGTGCGATTGCTGGCCGATGAAGGCACCTTCGGCCTGCGGGTTGAGAACAACCTGTTTCCGGCGTGGGGTGTTGCTGGAGGAATGGGGGGCGGAGTGTCCAGCGTCTTGCTTAATCCGGGTACGCCAGAGGAACGGGAAATCACGGCATTTTCCGACGACAACCACTGGAAATACGGAGACCTGGTGAGAATCCACACGGCCGGCGGCGGGAGATGGGGTGATCCGCTGAAGCGCGATGTGAACCTCGTACTGGACGACGTGAAGGATGGTTTCGTGTCGCTGGAAGCCGCCCTGGAACGCTACGGAGTGGCCATCGACCCTGACACTCTGGAGGTTGACACCCGGGGCTCGGAAACCAGGCGGGAGGAAATCCGCAAGGCGAGAGGGGAGACCAAACTGTTCCATCGGTTCGAATATTTTGCCTTCAAACCGAATCGAAGAACTGGAGTGGTCACAGCACGCCCTCTGAACGAGCTACCGGTATCAATTGTGCTTCAGACTGCTCACGCCTTTATCCTCCGAATTGACGCCAACAACGCGGCGGCCATAACTTTGCGGCCCAATTGTCGCAATTAGGCGGACGAAAACAAACACCAATCAGACAAATGCTACGGTTACCGCCAGCACATTGACTGCACAATAGCGACACGTACACTAGCGGAAATTAACTGTGCCCTTTTGTTTGATAGGGTAAGCTGGAAACTTTGTAATTCGTACATCGTCGCACATTCATCGTGCTGGAGGTACCGTATGCCTGAGTTTGATTTGGTGATTCGTGGAGGAACCGTAGTGGACGGCACGGGCCTGCCCCGCCTCCGCGCTGACGTTGGCATCAAGACGGGCCGGGCGGTGCCTGATTCAGCGGGCGCACATCAACGCCGAGAGGCGCCAGGGGCTGGATGTCTGACGCCGCGGCTGCATCGTGGCGCCGGGGGCGGTTGATGTGCATACCCACTACGATGCGCAGCTCAACTGGGACCCTTACGCATCTCTCTCCGGATGGTTTGGTGTAACCTCGCTAACCGTCGGACAGTGCGGGTTTGGATTCGCGCCGACTCGGCCCGAAGACCAGGACCTGAATATGCGGATGATGAACCGTATTGAAGCGATACCTCTGGAGTCGATGCGGCAAGGTATGCGCTGGGACTGGGAGACTTTCCCGGAGTACATGGACAGCCTGACCGCCAGGGCCTGGGCGTCAACGTTGGCGCGCTGGTTCCCTTCTCCCCGCTGCGGGGCTACGTTCTGGGCATGATACCGGCTCGTGAACGGACCTCCGTAACTACCGAGTGCCCGACTGACCAGATGAAACAGATCCTTTACGATCCAGGAATGCGGGGCGTTCAGCGCTTGTCCCGCCGACAAGAACCCTGGGTGGAGGACCGCCCGAGGACGTGAGCATGGCTGCCCAGCCATGTGGCGTCTCCAGAAGAGTTCTACGCACTGTCCCAGGTTTTGAGGCAGTTTGGCGTGGGTCACCTGGGATGGACGATCGGCATCTCCGACGACCGCCCCGCCCAACGGGATATGTTGGCGGAGATGGTGCGTATGAGCGGTCGCCCGCTACACGTGGTGCTGGGCGACGAAGAGGGATACGACTGGCTGGAGCAGGTCGCAAGGAAGACTGCCGTCGCTATTGCCCAGCAGGGCTCGTGCCTGCACTATAGGCTGAAAAAGCTGTGCTCCCTTAGCGCAAAGCTGCTGGGCTGAGTTCAAGCTTTCCGAGTACAACTTGTTCGACTATATGCCCAACTGGGTCCAGCCGTTGGTTGGCTCCAAGGAGGAGCGCATTGCCAAGCTATCCGAGGACGGCATTCGTGATGGGATGAAGCGCGACGTGCTGGACCGCCCGCACGCCAGGACGGACTGGGCTCAATTGCAGGTGGTGGAGGTGGCCTGGAACGCAACCTCAAGTACGAGGGTTTGTCCATCGCCGACATCGCCGAAGCCGAAGGCAAGCATCCGCTGGACGCCTTCCTGGACATTGCCCTGGACGAGGACCTGGAAACCGAATTCGCTCACCCCGCCGGCGGACAGGGCGACGACGCTCGGGCCGAACGGCTGGTGAATCCTTACGTCCACATCTCGGTTTCAGACGGTGGGGCCCACACCAGGTTCCTGGTCAACAGCGTGTGGCCGGTGTACTTCTTGGCACACTGGATTCGCGACAACGAACTGATGACCCTGGAGCAGGCTCACCAGAAGATGAGCGCCCTGCCTGCGGCGTTCTCTGACATGAAAGGTCGTGGCACCCTGCGCGTTGGCGACTGGGCCGATGTCATGATTTACAACATGGAAGAGCTCGGATTGCTGTACGATAAGCCTCGGTTTGAGACTGACTTCCCGGGCGGTGAGAAGCGGTTGGTGCAAAAACCCACCGGTATCCGCTATATCCTGGTCAATGGCACCGTAACCTTCGTGGAAAACGAGTGCACCGGCGAACTTCCCGGCAAGCTGCTGCGCAGCTATGACATGGTGGGTTAGTTCCACCAGGCAAGTCAACGGGATAACAACCGCGCCCCGGGAGTCGGTTTCCCGGGGCGCGGTTATTTTCTATCGGCGGGTGTGATCCCAGGGCCGGCTCTTGAGCCGGCCAGGATGTCCTGATAGGCGCGGCGGTCTACTCGTCCGGCACCAGTGCGACCAGGTGGCCGTTTTGTAAAGTTACCAGAAACGCTTTCATTCGGAAGTCGGCTCGTGTAATGCACGTGCCTTCGCCTTTTTCGTACTGCCAACCGTGCCCGTCGCAAACGAACAGCTCGTCGCCCTCATCTTCTATTTCCCCACCCTGATGCGGGCATACCGTCGATAATAGCTTGTATCCGTCGCGCCCGCGCACCAGGAAATACGAAGCGTCGCCGACCTTCACGGGAGCTGGAAAGGACGCAAACGCAGATTCCTCTCCCAAATCTACTCTGACCTTTTTTGAACGGGCTGACCCACTAACCTGGCGTAGGGATACGGTTCCTTTTTGTCGTTCGGTGGTCATTGCAACTTTCCTTGCTTTGGTCGTGAAGTCCGGCGCTTTGGTCGTGAAGTCCGGTCGATTACGGTTGGCACAAGTATATCAAAGCCATACCTTTTGCCAACGTTCGGTGGCAGTACTGTGGCCGCGATGCTACACTGGTGGAAATTAGACTCCGTAAAACATAGGAGGTTGTGATGGTTGATTACGCGACTTCGACAATTTTCGCAGACTATGGAATGGAAATCGGCACACCAGCAATCAGGTCGGTTGGGCCGTTGGCCTTCGGCCCGGAGGGAATCCTGTTTATCGGAGACAATGTCGGGGCGGCCATTTTCGCCGTCGACGTTGGCGACTCTGACGATGGCGGCAAGACTCACGCGGTGAATATGGCCAACTTTGATTCTGCACTCGCGTCCTACCTGGGTTGCTCTCGCGAGGACGTGGCCATCAAGGACATGGCCGTCCATCCCACCTCAGACAACCTCTACTTTTCCGTGATGCGAGGGAGTGGAGACGCTGGCCTACCCGTCATAATCAAGGTATCCAGTGGAGGATCCATCAGCGACGTGCCACTGGAAGATGTGGCCTATTCTCAATACGACATCAAGGACGCAGCCGACGAAGACGACCCGCGTCTGGTCACCCGACTAAAGCTGCGGACGGTAACCGTTACCGATATGTCATACGTGGACGGTTTGCTGCTGGTTGCCGGTACATCCAACGAAGAATTCACGTCCGCCCTGCGGCGGATTCCGTTCCCCTTCAACGGGGACGCCGAGTCCAATTCATTGGAGATATTCCACGTGTCCCACGGCCAGTACGAAACGGCGGCGCCGATTCGAGCATTCGTGCCCTACCAGGGGAACACCAGCATCCTGGCCAGTTACACCTGTACACCGGTTGTTCAGTTCTCTCTGGCCGATTTCGAGCCAGGGAAACAGGTCAAAGGCAAGACCGTTGCTGAGTTGGGCTCCCACAACCATCCGTTGGACCTGATTTCCTACCAACACGACGGTGATGAATACCTGCTGGTGTGTAACGACCGGCACCCCGTGTTCAAGATTGCCTGCAAGGACATTGAGGGCCAGGGCCCGCTGACGGTACCCGATGATTCCCTGGACAACAACCCCGCCGATCCGGTTACGCCCGGTGTCGGTGTGCCCCGGGAGCTACTGCCCCATCCAGGGGTCAAGCGGATGGCCAACCTCAACGGCAGCGGTGTGTTGATGTTGCAGCAGGATGAGGACGGCAGCACGCACCTGCATTCCTACGCTACCAATACGTTGTGACTCAAACGCGCCAATTGCATCTCGATTGGGCGCAATACCGAGGGAAAGAAAGTCTGAAGGTCACCGGTTGGAGTCAATCTGACCTTCGCGAACTGGACGGGTCGGGCACCGGCGAACTTAGCCGGCGCCTGACCCTCCTGACCAGCGATGTCCTGAATGCCAGCGGAAACCTCGTCGGCATTCCTTCAATCGCCGGCGACTTTACCGTGGATTTCGACTCGGTATGGTTCGTTCCCCGATTTCCATTCATGGACGGCATGAACTATTCGTTGGTGATAGATGCCGTCGGCCATGGGAGCCCGGAAATCTGGGCCGTTCGGCGTCCATCAATCCCAACGGTCCCGGCCACCGAGGTTGCAGCCATCCAACCCACGGCAACCGAACTGCCCGTAAACCTGTTGAGGATGTACGTGCTATTTTCGGCCCCAATGAGCGAGGGATGGGCGGGCCGAGCCATCCGGGCTTGTTTGCCTCGCGGACACCCGAGAGGACTAAGTGGCACAGGGTGTTGTCTTCCCTTCTGTATCTCGGACGCTTTGGGACACATCGCGGCGACGTTTGACCATGCTATTGGACCCGGGCCGTATCAAGCGCGGCCTGGTCCCCAACCGGGAATTTGGCTACCCACTAATTGAAGGGGCACCGGTTCGCGTAACCGTTGACTCTGAGTTCCGCGACGCCCGGGTGCACACCCTCAGCAGGTTGGCGCGTTCGTAGTTACGCAAATTGGCCGCCTATCAGTGGCCTGGTCTCGATCTTGATTCCAGGTTGCTTGGACGCCTGACTGCGCCAGTAGCCGCGTCATAATGACATTCGACTGGTCGTTGTGATGTTCGAACCGCGCCCCTGATCATGGCCATGCTGGCAGCACTGTCTATGAGGTCAGAGAGGCTGCTGCGGGTGCGCCGATAGCAGGCTGAATCCGGACGCGCCGGAGCGCCAGTTGGCAGTTTCACACACCGGCTTCCCGTGTGTAGTGGCGGGTCACACAATACCAGCTCGTTGATCGTGAACCGACACCTGAAGACGTAGCTGGAAACTCCCCGTTCGAGTGTGTTTGACCGGGATACTTTCGAAATACCCGAAGAGTCTCCAATCTCCGTGGAGATTGCGGTGCCAGCTTGCCGTCGAAGTTTTCATGTCCGGCGCCGCGAAGGCCATTGGGAATACGATTAATCCGGCTAACAGCAAGGGTTAACGGCGTTTGGTTTTCGCCCGACGGCTGGTTGGGTCTCATTCCGGCCGCCTTGACCGCTCAAACCTTCAACGTCGAACGACTGGATTTTTTTTCGTTGCGGCCGTGTTCCTTAGGCCGCAGATCGCGCCGCCAGTTGACGCAAGTCACCCCACACCAGCGTGTAATAGTACGATAGCACCCCTATCGCAGACCTACGTCATAGCGATGGAGGAACTATGAAGAGAAGCCCGTCCCCAGATTCTTACAACCCATACTGGGAGGCCTGCCCGCGGATCTCCCGAGGTCAGAGCTGTTTGCGGGACCGGGGGAGGAAGCGCGGGGTTGTGATGGGAACCAGTTTTCATGTGCGGTGTCCGCAACGCAGTTGGGGAGGGTCCGTAGGCCAGGCAACAGGACACCTGGATCGACTGTGAACGATGCGAAGCAGGGCCGGTCGCGTACTCTACGTATGTCAAGGAGCGTCTCAACGGATTCGAAACGGCCTAGCTTGCCTCGTCCTGGCCCTGCTCCCATCGACTGACGACATTATTTTCGCCCCCCCGGATACGGCCGCCACGAGACCACCTTTCTTCTCGCATATCCCAACCTGCCGGCCCGGCCGATCAGCCTGAAAGGACTGGCCGCGCTAATACAGGGCGACATCGAACCCTACAGCAAGCGGCGGCGTCTCAAGCGTGGAAGAGGGTTGTTCATGACCGCGCTCGCCGGGAGTCATGCGAACGTTCCTCCCCAACGAGTTTTATTCCGACCTGAAGAAACCTATCTGTACGCCTTGGCCGACGTGATGAATGGGACGAATACAACGCCATCTTCCGATCCGTCCTCATTCTTGCGATCGATTGCCCCTTTGGCCATACGCAGCGTCTCCCTCCCGTTTTTCCCCCTGTCGGTGGAGGATAATTCAAGAAGATAGTGGAATTGCACGTGGAGTCAATTAACTATGCCCTGAAGGACATTGACCCGGACGGAGCGGCTGTCGCAACAGTTGTGCGGGGCAATACAGAAGGGCCGCACCACCACGATGTCCCGCTCAGGAGATTGGTGGACCTGGGTACTAAGGCCCATGCCGTTGGGACTTGCCATCGAGGGGCCACCCCAGGCACGCCCCGGAATGGAATTGTGGAAAGCCGTACGCACTACCCCGACGGCAAGCTATTAATACCCGGCTGCTGGAACACCAAGCCACCACCAACTTCATTGCCCCAGCATAACGTGCAGCGCATCCGCTCGGGTCCTGTCTTCATGGCATAGTTAATGCTTCCACGTTCAATTCCACTCTTCTGAAATTCCTCCACCGGCGCAGGTGGAAGACTGGGAGACGCGCGTCATGGCCAAGTCGGGGCAATCGATCTCGCATAATGAGGCCGGACTCGGCGATGGCGTTGTATTCGTCCCTTCATCACGTCGGCCAAGCTTACAGATATGTTTTCTTCGGTTCTGATAAACACTCGTTGGGGAGGCAAGTTCCGATGACCCCGGCGAAGCCGCGGTCATGAACACCTCTTCACTCTTGCCAGCTACGCCGCACGCTTGCTGTAGGTTTTCGATGTCGCCCTGTTAGCGGGCCAGTCCTTCCAGGAGATCGGCCCGTTGCAGGCAGGATTGGGGCATATGCGAGAATAAAGGCTGGTCTGCGTGCGTCGTACTCCGGGAATCATTGTCCGTCCGTCGCCTGGCTTGCCCGGACGAGGCGCTCGCCCGTCGTAATCCGTAACGCTCCTTTCCCA